GGACCTTTATGTGAGAGATGATAGATTACACCCATGAATGTCTACTTCAAGGAGGTGTTACGTCCAGGTTAAAGACAGCTGAAAGTGATTTGATTTTGGTTCAATTACAGTTCAAATTAGGATGCAAATAAGAATCCAGAATTCTTAAAGGGAGAGCATTTCCATCATGGCAGCCCCTCTAATCATGCCTCCATGTCCTCGATAAGAAGTTTTGGAAAATGACAACAGACTGGGTGAAGAGCAGCAGTAGGCTGGTCATATGTTTAAAATAAACAATCATCCATGACCTGAAGCGTTTTCTGTGTCGAGAACAGCAGTGAATGATTATAAGCCAAATTTGAGCTTCCATATCTCTTTCCATTCTTACCTATTGCAAGGAGTGCATGCTGCAGCTCTAGAGTAAAGGCAGTAAGAGGCACCTCTTCTGATACTGGCAGGACTGCCACAGTGGAGAGGTTGGAGGCTTGGTTTCCTGCATCCCACTTACTTCCTGGTGTGTGCAGGGCCAAACTGCGAGCTGGAGATGTGTTACAGATTTGCAAATGGTGAAAAACAGATTTAATACCAGAAATGATGGGAGAACCTAACCAATTAAAACATGTGTAGACCATGCATATGTTCAATCCAAAGTTTGTTTGTTTCCCAGCCCCTACATAAAGGACTTTCTGAGAAGTTTTTAGCAAGAGCCAAAGAAAAATTACAAACCTTATTAATTACAAACAGTATCAAAACATTTTCAGTTTATTATAATTAAAACACAAGATATTTGTTTATCCATTAACAAACAGATGTGCCACACAATCACTGCCTTTATGGTACGTCAACAAAAACTGCCAGTATGTCTGAGCCAGGAAAGAGCCTGCAAAATAGGCAGCATAGCACACAGATGTACACACCTGTCAGAGGACCATTGACCTGCTGCAGTATCTTCTGTCCGAGTAAGTGGATCAGCCTGGTGACAACCTGAGATGCACATTTTATAATCAGCCCTGTTACTCAGACTCTGCAGTACAAAGTCATTTCCTGATTTTATTTTAAATGTTTATTGTGATGAGTTTCAGTGAATGCAACATGTTGATTTTTATTAGTTTGATTAAATGTATTAATTATCTGTATTATTTTCATGATAACTTCAAGTCTTTTTTTGTTTAAAGGAAAGGGACGGGTGAGGCAATAGCACTTGTTCTCTCCAGTAAAAAGGATTACTTTAACAGAATTATTTTCAAATAAGATGAATTTAACACATTAGATTAGGCCTACCTGAGGAAATTTCCTCTTGATAGAGCAAAGTGCACCTTCTGGTAGCTTGGCCAGCTCAGAGTCTCGTACAGCGTGTACTGTGGTCGCTCTGTTCTGACGGGTCAAGGTCTCTACCTGCGCACAGACAAGTCATTAATTACACAAAATCCAAACAAAGCCTATCCAGGAATGCAAGTAAATAACTAATTAGACATCTTAATAAGAAAAATGTTGATATAATTATTTATAATTTTATAAATAATAGTACAGAATTTATACCTGGAATTTGCCATTTCTGTATCAATTATTTCATTTAGGGCAGGCACTGTATATTCTGAACAGACATCTGATTGTCGCCTTCGATTAAAAATAAATAAACAAATAAATAGGAATACATCCGAAGCTAAAAGGCTAAAATTAACCTCTACCCCTCATCTAAAACTGACATCTGAGCCATGCTAAATTTGTCTCACAATCACTATCACAGAAGCTCCAATGACAGCGTCTCTCCTCCAGGTAACAGTAACCATAGCATCCATTAACCCAGGTATTATTAAAAGCATTGAACCAGTCACACCAGCTGACAGAGAGGTGGATGAGTTAAACCAAGTCACTTTGCTTTACACAGGCTGAAAATACCATATAGAGTTTAATTTGAGAAAAACTTGGCAGTACTATTAAAATATTTAGAAGATATCTTAGAATCAGATTTGATCATTGTCATCAAATCATGTTTGTATAAAAATGTATCCCAAAGTCATGCTGCCCCCCCCCCATTTTCCCTTTGATTGTAATATGAAGTGCAGTAATTTCAAACAATCCATTTATTACGACCCAAATCTTTTGACCAGTATTGAAGGCTAACAACACCCACACTCCTCTGGCAGCCTGGCAAATGAATTTGGTGCATGCTTTTGTCTAAATGCACTTTAGCTGTCCCAAAAAGAGCATGAAGAAGATATAATTATCTGGATTGTTTTTTATGCATATTCTATTTCAGCTGCCTTTTGGCTACATTTTTTGTTCTTTTTTCCCCCCTTTGTTTAAATATATCCCA